GAATTGAAGAAGATAAGCCCTGCCCCATTATGGACTGATACAAAACAAGATTGAACAAATAACACTGAGTCTTCACAGCTTATTAGAGCAAAAGTCAGAGCCTTCTCATTGTGTAGCAGGATAGAGCATACAAGTTGTAGAAAACTGTCAGTGGGGATGTACACGATACACTAATTTCCCCTTAAGATTTATAATTTTTTTTACAGTATGTTTATCAGGCTTTGCTGTGTGCTGCTATATTGTGGCTTGGGAATAGCTGGTTAAAAATAAGGAGAAAAAAGTTCAGAAACAAAAATTTGCAAACAGGTTTTCCATTCCGTTTTACTGTAACCCTAATGGTTCTGTTCCATGTTCCATACAGGTTGTTTCTAAATGTGAACATGCTTACTTCTACTATGCAGAAATTGTGGTTTAAATGCCCGATTTTAAAATTCAATTTTCAGTCTTACCATCTGAAGTCTATTTTTTTTCCGTTTTCTTATATATATTAAAAAATTTCTGTTGAGGGAAACCAAAGCATGCAGGTCATTCATTGCTCCAGTAAGTGGGCCAAACAACCTATTATTTAAGTAGCAAGTAATTGCTGAGATTCATAATATAATTTTTAGTAATCAAAGTATTTCTTGAGCTTTTTAAAGAAGATAGAATATTAAGTGCAATGCTAATGTGAATTGTGGCCTTGGAGTCCTTTTTTTGAAAGCAGCATTTCTAGGAAGTACCCATGGATAATAGGAGGTGGTAGGACTCCCTTCCTACAGTGCAGGTTTCAAGTAAATGACTGCAGATCATTTCTTGACAGCTCACTTACCATCATGCTCTTTACTTCCTTACAGTAATGGAAGTGACTCAGCCAGCAATGGTGTTGGCCAACAGGCAAGGAGTTGCCAGCTTGGTGTGTAAATACAAGCACATCGGGAACGCAAAGGAAATTCGAGTGACGCTGCTCAAACGGACGGGGGACGGGTTCACTGAAATTTGCGCTTCAACCTACACCTCGGAGTTCCAAACGTTCCGTGTGGAAGCGGTCATTCAGTGCCGCGTCAGCCCCGGCCGAAACAACGTGACCCTCACCCTCGCTGGCCTGCAGGCCAATGACACCGGCCTGTACGTCTGCAAGATGGAGCGGATGTACCCCCCTCCCTATTTCATGAACGTGGGAAATGGGACACATCTCTATGTCATTGGTAAGTCACAGCTTTACAGTACTGTGATACTTCCAAGTTAAGGGAGTTGCTATTATGTCTCAAAGGTCTTTAGAGTTCTGTTTGTAAGAAGTGAGGGCGAATACTGGTTTGAGCTCTGAAAATCATAATTAGCTCTTATTCCTTTCATGCCTCCCTCCACACACCTAAAACAAGCATAGTCAGAGTCATGCAATCTATTTAGCAACTTAGGGATGTTTGATAGCATAAACAACACCATGTATGTCTGGACAGTTAGATACAGAAGTACAGAAATAGCAGAGTAAGATGTATGTTCTTCTACAGACAAAGCCTATTTTCACTGGAGGTTGAGTGGGCAGGGACTCAGAGGTCAGTCCTGGTAGTATCCTGGAATAGCACATGCTAGAGAAAAACAGAGTGGAGGCTGATTTACTGACTATAGGGCCATCCTTAGGAGGCTCATGTGTGACATGACTTGTGTGATATCCTATGTTTTAGATCCAGAACCTTGTCCAGACACTGCCATATATCTCTGGGTATTAGGAGCTACTGCCTCAGGATTTTTTCTTTACAGTATCATCATCTCAGCTGTTCTTGTGGGCAAAGCGGTAAGTGCCATCAATTCAGCCTCATTCTGCTAATAATGCCCTTTGTGTGATGAGGACAAGGAGAAAGAAAGGAGAACACCAGGAACAAACGCACTGGGATGTTCCATTTTACTAGTGCAACGCTATTACAGTACTGTAAGATAAGAGAACTTCCTGGAGCTGCCACTTATATTTGTTTATAGCTCATTTGTGTTGCCAGAGTACTAGGAAGCAGTCAGCTTTCATCAGCTGGACTGAGCCTGGCTTACATTTGGATGCTTAAAATGGGTCAGAGTCCTGGACACTTCGGGGACCAAAGGCAACAGGAGATCTGTTGATTTCTTAATGGATTCACACAAAATCACAGGATTTGATTTTTTCCTTTTCTCACCATTCACCTCCGTGCAAAGCAAATTTAAAGAGGCTTCTCCTTGGATAGTGGGGAATTGTAACTGAAAGAATTTTTAACTTCACAACTAGAAATCTCTACACAAAGGCATGCAAAATGTAAGCCTGTGTTGCCTCTTTCCATGGGAGTCTGCAGTACTCACAGAAATGAACCTGATGGCAAAGCTTAAAACCAAACAGTACCTCTGTCCCATATTTTTCAATTAGCCCTTATCCCTAGAGACTAAATTAAGCTGTTTGGTGTGAACACTCCTAGTTTTGCAGCAACACTGAAGCAGGAGTACCTTCAGAGGGCTAAATGAATGGCAGAACTCTTTAATATATATATATATGTATATCTAAATAGCCTCTGTACCTCCTGATCCTCCCTCAAATGGTCTCAACAGATCTCCTATAAAGAGGCACGTCAGGGAAAGGTGTGTAGAATACCTTCTACTCAGTAAAGGCAGAACATCCTTCAGTTTTCTCTAAAATGTGCTGGTCAATGATTGTGCCGTTATCATTTGTTTATTTTATTGTCTTCCCATATTTTACAGATAAAGAGAAGACGATGTCTTACTACTGGAGTCTATGTGAAAATGCCTTCTGAAAAGCTAGAGAAAAAAGTGATTCCATTCCACATCACTGGTAACTGTAACAAGGAAGGAGAGAAACCATTTCCTAGCTGGGATGGAGAGCCTGCTAATTCACTTAAGTTAAAGAAATAAAATTAATTGTCTTATTACAAAGGTGTACGGGAAGGAGAGAGAATATTCCCTGTAATGTCAATGGTTTGGAGGAGAATAATTATTGTATGCACTAGTATTCGAAGATTAACCCTGTCACATAAAAATGGCTACATTAGGCCATTGAATCTTTGAGATGTATTGTACCAATATGTAGTATATATACATATATATATGTATATACATATATATATATAGCATTAAGAGCTATTGCTGTTCCAGTTGAGCATCTTACTGTCACATTTCACCATGCCTACTGATCAACTGAAATCCAAACACTATTATGACAGAGGCTTGTGTGTCATTGCAAGGCTGATCCCACAGGTCTGGGGGGCAGAGGCAGAAGAGCACACTAATGTACAAAGGAATGTTGACTTGTTTCCCTGCATTGATATTTATTGGTTCCACTTCTGGCGTTAGTGCTCTGCACTCCACAGAGACGTCACCACAGGCTGGCACTGATGACACTGCTGCTCTAAAAGCCTGATCTTAGCTCCCTTCACTGGCATTGTGTCCCAGCAGTGCCGTGCTGGAGCTGACATTGATGATATCTAAGCCAGTGCTGACAGTTTGGTTGGAAAAGAGGCTCCAGCAGGAACCCTCTTACGCTGTGCTGGGAGGATGTTCCAGCTCTGCTGGGGCCTTGTGTTTTACAAATGCTAAATTAGCATCTATCCAAAAGGCAGATGTATGTTGCTGTGTTTAACTGACTCTATTTTCCATGAAAATATTGACAGTGTATAATCTTGTTTATTAGTTATGTACCAGTCAATAAAAACCTTGAAGCTTTGCCCAAATTCATTTCTTATTCACTGTTCTCAGAAGAAACAGGAAGTGGCTACATGTTAGAAAGCAGTGAAGACAACATGAACCCTTCCCCTCTGACCCTGTGTTTTGCCCTTGAGAAACAGCCTGTGTGCTCACGCCAACACTTACGTTCTCAGCTCCCCTCCTCACTGGCCACCATTACAGTCTGACAGTTCTTCTGTTTGTCTAGTTAGAGCTGCTGTGATGCCGCTCAGAGACACTGCCAATCACTTTTTCACTTCCAGCAAAGTTACTTACTTGCAGAAGGTAGCTGTAACGACTTTGACAGCATCTCCTGTACATGTTTAAACAAAAAAACTCGTCCTAGTTTCAAATCCTGTTTTCTTTGCACCACTTCGACACTCTCACTCACTAAATGCTAGTCAACACACAAAGCTGCTGGAGATTAAAGCTATTTCAGCATTCTCAGCTACTACCTACTACTTTGACTCTTTGCTATCAAAATTTCGCTTTGCAACTCAAACACCTGGCAGCATGTGTCTCTGGTTCACAGCTGTGAATCCGTCTTCTGGGCTACACAGATGTGAAGTCAAACCCCACAGCCCTTTAATCCATGTTCCTGCAGTGGCAGCAGCTCCCAGTACACCAAATCTCATAGCTCTTTTAGTTACCTTTTGCCCTCTTGCCCATTCTTCCTGGTGCAAAGAAATATTCCCATTCTCAGTTTGCTAATGTTTGCAGGTTCTAACTGTTCTTTGTTGATATAAAATTGTACTGCATTAAGTAAAAGTAGCATCTGATGACATATCCTTTTTCTGAAGGTGTTTTTGGTATTCAGACATCTGTCTGGGATTTTTCCCCTAATTTTTCACTACTTGGTGTTTTGGGGATAAAAAATGGTCAAAGATCACATCTGGTGTCACTGCAAAATGACCAAATTTCTGCCCATCAAGTGCAGCCTGATCAGAGAAATATGTTCCATGATTCCATGATGAAAAATAGATTTGATCCACACATCCACTTGTACAAGCTGTACAAAGCGTGAATAACCACACAGGGCAATTTTTTCCACCCTAGTAAGTAGTAGTTCAGATATCCTGTGAATCATGTGTCTGACTCCTAATCAGGAATCAATTGTTTCTTCTTTTTCCTTTCCTTGACAATTCCTATATACTGGGACCAAGAACTCACTTTTCTTAAGCAATCTAAAAGCAGCTCAAGTAAATTATTCCTCAAGTTTATCCCTCCTGGTGAAGAGATGCTTTAGACCTGCATCCACAACCTCTGGCCACAGCTGGCTGTGAATCTGTGTCACCATAGAACATTGCACTGTGGACATTCCAACTCACCTCCATTTCTGGCAGTTAGGTTGACCATAATTAGGCCTTCTGCATCTACCTGGACTATTTCCTCTTAGCACACGAGCCTTTACTTGAGACATTCAGCCTGTAATGACCAGAGCAGAATTCTGCCATAAATTAGTATCAAGTTGCTAAAATAGCTGAGTAGTGAAGGTTATGGGAGAGCAGAGCAGAAACGATCATCTCACGTATGGAAATAGCAATATTTTGTGTTTGCTCCCACACTTAAGTAATTCTTGGTATGATGTTTATTAATTATCCCATTAGAAATTATTTTGCCCAAACTATCTGGCTGTTATGAACTTCTCTTAATTCTCAGTAGTTACTTTTTCATACCTTCTTTTACTTGTGCAGTGCTTCATTTTCTCTGGCTTTCCTTAACAAGGTAGCAGCCTTTCCTGAGCTAAATGTTACATAAATATGCTTTTTCATTTTTTGTTCTAAGCCAGATTCCCCTTTTGAATTTTCTGGCAGGGTAATAGGTGCACTCAAATCAGCAGATATAGTGATACAGTGAAGACCAAAGTGAGATTTCAGTTCAGATTTTACTGACAATGATATTCTCATAATTTATATCTGGCACTACAGAGAGGAGTGGAGACTAAATGCCTGCAGAGATGGCATTTATACCTATCTCCATATGGTCCATACAGCAGCTAGTTCTGATGAGTGCAGAGCCCAGACCTCAGGGAATTTCCATTGTCCTGTGCTGCCCTCCAGAACCTTGAGGTCTGTGCTTTTCCCTGATACTGGGAGAGCGCCTTTACATGATCAGCACTCCAAAAAATTTTACCCATACAAGTCAACTATAGTGTTCTGTCAGATCACAGCAGTACCAAAAAGAAAGATGCAAACTCTAAGTCACTGTACAACCCAGAAAATGCAATAAAGAGGAAATTGTGCCACTTTCTGGGAAGAATGGAAAAAGCAAAGGCAAAAGGATTTGGTTTCAGAACTCTGCTCATTAGAATGGAGAGTTTAAAAACATAACTGAGTATGTTACCTGGACAGCCAAATTATGAGGCCACACTGCTTGTGAGGTTCAGGAAGAGTCTCTTCTGATGTTCTCTTCACCCAGTCAGGAGATCTGGCAGCCTGTTTGTGAAACAGAGATGGTGAGTTTCTGGCTGCACGAGTGGGCATTCACAGGTGCACTTGTCTGCATTAAAGTGTAGGAATGTGTGTGAGGGGCTGAGGGGATTTGGAGGCAAAGTACATTGGAAGGTAAGACACGACGGGCTTCTTCCTTTCACTAGACAAAAGCTGGGGATGTGATGGGGAGTGAGTTCTGAAAAATGAACCAGAAAATGCACCAATTTTCCCTGGGGTGGGAAGAATCTGGACCATGACTAAATAGCTTTGCCATTAGGAGAGGCACAAACAGGGATCAGATGACGTATCCAAGAGTTGTAACACAAAATCCAAACCAAAGCAGGCCAGTGTACAGCAGATGGATTTATGCATTACAAAAACCAATCTACTGTTGTCATTTGCAAACTGTATGTTTGCTTGATCATGTGAAAGATACTTTGAGATAACTTCTATCACAGCTAGGCTGTGAGGCCTCTGCACTGCCAGGAAGGTTAATGTATATTTTGAATGCAGGTTTATGGCTGGGAGGGAGGTGTGGGGTAGAGGTGAAATTCAGGAAATTTTTGAGCTGCAGGGAATGAGAAAATAATCAGAAATACACAGCACCACACTCTGCTGATCCTGCAGATTCCTGAGCATCACTTGGGCACTTCTACACACAGACAGTCAGCACTTACATGACTTTGTTATCATTTTCTGTGAATGTTTTTGTGACTGATAAGAGAACAGTCTTACTTGAGGGCACTTTTCTATTCTATAGAAAAAAAGGAATGGTGAGGAACTGTGGTATGTTTGAGCAAATAACAGTTACTGATAAAAGATCTTAGAAACCAGGGGTGGGGTGGGGAGCACTGTAAAAATTGTCACTGAAGCCATTTCAAAAGTTTTTGTTGTTTACTAGAGGGACAGAGCAAGGAAGAGTTCAAGGGACAAAACTTCATTGGGAATCATTAGTAACTGCAGCTGAGGTGACGTGGCAGATGCCTCCATGACGTAAGAGATTATTAACTAGTTGAAATTTCACTATTCTTTTTCAATTTTTCAAATGTAGCTTTTCTTCTATTTCCATAGTGAGCTGTCTTAACCACAATCATGTTTCTATATTTTAATGAACATTTTTTAGCGGTTATGAAGTTACAGTTGAACAAAAAGTTCTCTGTTTCTTCATTGCTGGTTTTTCTTCTTCATTCTTTTCTGACTTCTGTTTGAACTGCTTCATTAAACAAAATGCAAGACCTTGTTTTTAAGGCAAATGGAATATTTCACACAATTATATGATTCCATTAGGTGGTACTTTTAGATGACCACCTCCTGTAAAGGGAAATGTGACACAATCAGGAAACATGAAACACTAGGTAACATTTGGCTGGACTATGCTATGTTCTGGGTGGGATTTATCCAGATTCATGCTCTTCCCTGTGATGCAGCAACTTGTGTTGAAAGCTGGAACAAGCACCAGGGTGCTCTGTTCTTCCTAGACAGGATCAGTGCCTGGGATGTGGGTTTTCCACAGGAAATGAACGTTAATGTTTGGACCAAGATTGCCATTGACATGAAAAATGTAGGATCACTGGTTTTATAAGAATAAAAACACCTACACTGAGCAAATATTCCGTGTTTCTTTCAAACTAGAAACTGAGTAACCAGACCCCAAAGACTCCTAGAGTTCAGTATAGACAGGCAATAAATGAATCTTGCTCTACATTAAATGTGTTGTTGTTAATTTACTACACCTTAGTCCTCCTTTTAGAGTTTCTCCTTGGGGATTTGTAGCTTCCTTGAAATAGTGATGAAAGGGACCAGTAGAAGCACTGCTTACTTTTGTGCAAACTAGAAAGTCTTCCCTCCACAAACCAGAAGGTGTGAGGGATTGGTATGTCCTACCTTCCACAGCACTTAGTGCTGGGCACTTGCAGCATCATCAACTGTAAGAAATGTCTCAACCTCCTTCCTCCCTGTGAAAATTCTTTTTGGAAGTTGGACCCTGCTGTCCTTCAGCTGATCTCCAGAGACCTCTCTCCATGTGCTGGTATGTGAGGAAAGCTGAGGTGTTTGAAGTTCTGTAGAAACTCTGATAAGACTTCTTTTCGTCTTGTATGCTTTCAGAGTTGGCCTTTTTACCTGCTAGACAGAGCTGCTAGTTCTTGCAATTGTCATCTTTCTACTTTGTTTGAACCCAAACAAACACAACAAATCAGTGATTAAAAACAGGCCTTCTCTTCTCCTGTGCTACAAAAAGTGTTAGGCAGTATTACAGTCTAATTGATTTGCATCATGCAGATTAAAAACGTAGATGAAATGAGCTGGATGAAAATTGTAAAAATACTTGGAGGGGGAAACAAGAACCAAAAATAATGCACATTTGAAACTGTCACAAAGCGTGGTGCCTTAGCAGTGCTTAATCTAGACCAGAAAGCAAAACAGTTCATTTCTTTGTAAGTTATCAAATCCTTCTGGTAAGTGACACTCTGGAAACATTCAACAGCTTCATAACTGGCTGACTTCATGTTTTACATGCAGGAAAGATGGCTAGAACAGCAATAATCAGCAGAATAAGTTGGTTTCATAGCTGAGCTTTGTTGAGGTGTTATATCGTGTGGGTAGTATTTATAAAAGCTTTCTCACTTTTAATTCTGCAGCAAAGATGAATATCTGCTTCACAAATTAATAATATTTTCCTTTCTCTTACAATGCCAAACTAATTCATTACATCATACTTTATTATATGACTAGACTATTGGTCTAGTCTTCTTTTTATAGTACTCTCTCACTAAGATGAAACATCTCAAGTTCTTTTTTCTCGTCATCTCTCTGCAATAATATAATATCATTAAAATATTTTCTCCAATAGGTTCCAGACTTATGTTATTCCTCCTCCCATATGTAAGCCACAGGCACACATCTGATGTAAAAATTCCTCATATTAATGTAATCATTTATACTGTAATTTTCAGATTAACTTCCATTATTGTTTCTCATGTTTTTACTTCCTATTTTATGACTTTCATATATTGCATTAAATACAGCAATTGCTCTACTATCACTGATCACAAGGAAGGTGTTGTTCTTTCATGGGAGTGGACAAAGACACTTCACTCTCCCGTTTCAGATGCCTCGGTTGGAAATACACCTTCTGAGTTTGCTTTCCGGTTCCTGGAAGGAGGGCAGGCGCGATGCTGACTGTGCACATGTGTTTGTCAGTGCTGGGTGCTCCTAAGGACCTGACTGCTCGTGTCTCATCCAACAAATATGGGAAACAGTTTGAAGGCAATACAGGCTATGTCTTGTTCAGTTGGTGGATGACACGCAGGGGAGGGTAACAACCTGCACAGCGCCTGGATGGAAGTCAGGTGGCAAAGGGAGGAGTCTGGAGCAGGTGAGAGGAAGTCAGCCTGGCTGCACACAGCGCGAATGTCAGCTCTAATTCAGGCACCTTGGGAAATGGTTTTCCCTAAAAAGTCGGTTTAGATGTGGCAACATGGCTGGTTTTGGCTTACTTTTCAACATGCAGAACATGAAACACTCAGTGCCTAGGTCTGCTCTAGATAGATGAAGGACTTGAATTTAATATCCTCCTCCACTCACAGTAAATATGTCTACTTTGGCAAATTGTTGTGTATAGAAAGATTCTGAAAAAATGAAATCTGTTGGTATTTTTAAATTAAATACTTGGACTGCTTTGGAACAGTGTTTAACCTAAAAATTTAACTTTATCAAATTTATAACAAAAACGTCCTTTTTGTCAAACATAAAATTATTTTTGTCTCAACTTCCTAGTTTGTTAAAATTTCAAATTTTCAGTTTAGGAGTGAATTTAAAACTATTTATTCTCATAAATATAATCTTTGCAAAAGAACAGAAGTAATGGATGTGAGTGTCAAACCCGCAAAGAAAAAAAGATAACGAACCTTTAATATCACAAAATCCAGCTGAGGCCAAATGTAGCGAAAACTATTCTTTTGATCTTCCTTTCTCACCTTAAAATAAAACCAGAAGTGTTCTGTGTTATTTGTGACATTTCAGAGGCTAATGAAGATCCAATTATTTTTCAATAACTAGTCAGCCTTTTTGGTTTTCTGGTTATGCTATAGGTAGTTCCCACTACGTGATTCAAGTTAAGTTAATTATTATGACAAACAGAACTGTCAGTTGCACCTATCTGGGTCCTTCCAACTTCCTTTTAACTTAATCCCTTCCTTACTTTATTAATTTAATTGTAATGGAGGCCAGTATATACAGAACAAAAGCACTGACACCTGTAGCTAACTAATCAGACTCGCACAAAGAGCTTGTTCATGTGGCTTTAAGCCATATGATTTTAAGTCACAAAAACATACTCATCATGTAATGGTAACAACAGCATGAAGTTTAGTGGTATGTTTAGGGGTTGCAGAAAGCTGTCCCAGCAACAGAACTGGAGGAGAAGAAGCTGGAAACAGCTTGTTGCATGTGAAACAGGTAGTGTGGGAAAGTAGACTTGGGATTTAAATCTGTTAAATATATACAAGGAAATATAGTAATATAAAAACATGCATATGAAATATGCATTGCTCTATATTGAGCATGCCTGAAGGCTTTCCATGGTACCTAAACCCACTCTTTATTATAATAAAAAACTCTTAACAAAACCTGTCACTTAGTAATATGTTGTCCTGACTTTGTTCTGAGATAAAACCTATAAATTATCAGAAAATTGAAGTGTTGCCAGTTTCTGTCTTGTTGCTAGAAAATATTTCCATTTTTTGCTGAAGTGCTGTTTTCAGTTCTTTCAGCATGAAACTGATGCACTGATGATATGTGATCACCAGAGATACCACGTCACTTTTGTAATAAAGTGGTTAAAAAGAATACCCCAGCAAAATCTCAAATCAAGAGATTTTACAAGGTATGCAGAGTTCATTTAGTTCCTGGACTAATTTGTTCACTCGGGTAAGTACAAGTACAAGGCTCACACTTTCCAGTGGTGGGTGAATTGATCCAATTAGTCACCTTCACTTAACCAGAATTGTCCAGAAAGTTCCTACAGAGAACACTCATTTATTTAAAAAGCCTCTGTACATGTGTGCACATGCATGAATGCAGCAATTAAACCATGTTTGACAAAACATTCTTTGGGTCAAAGTAGCATTTTGTATTCGTTGGCAGAGCCACTTGCCTGAAGGCTGTGGTACTCAGCTGGGAAGAGAGACAACAGATGGCTGCAGCTCAACCCCACACCAGGCAGGAGCTTGCCTAGATCACTGACTATCCTAACCCTCTGCACTTTCAGTGGAAACTTTGAAGGCTGGCAGGCCTTCCTGATTCCTACTCAAAAATCTGTGAGAGGTGGCAATTTTGCACTGATAAAGACTGAGAAATTCTTATCTTGAAACTTTACAAGTCTAATACCAAACATTGTACTGATTTATTTGTTTGTTGCATTAAAGGTCTTGGAGATTGCAGAAGAGGATATGCTATTACCAACACTGTCCTGCTACAGCATGGATCAGCAGCAGATTTAGTAATGAGTCTATGAGTCCATGTCTTGCAACAGAACTAGGAATCACTGCTTTCAACAATTTTCAGATACTTAAACATCCTTTACCCAGTAGATTTTTATGACAGAAGGAACAGGTTGTATAAGGTTCAAAAACAATAAGTATCATTCTTTCATATGCAAGAAAGATCTCCAATATGAAAAACTCATCTGTAACTCTTATCAATAATTTAGGTGCTGCCCCCTACCAAGGATTAGCCTTTTGAATCCATCTCCAGCTGGAGTTTGAATTGTGCTGGTAATACTGTGTTTAATTTTTCTTTTCCTTTTCCAAGTCACACACATACTGCAGTCATGCCTCTTTTTTGTACTGTGTTTAGCTATTTAAGCATCAGATATCATAGCTCGTCTTTTTGAAACTGGTGAACTACATAGTCCTTGGCTCTGAGCCCTGCTGCACTCACTGTTACCTCGCTGGCTGTGGGAACACCCAAAGACACCCGGTTCTGCAACAGAACAACACAGCAGCAGTAACTCTTTATGTTACACGTGGTAATATTATTATTCACAGTGATCAGAAAGAGTACAACAGAAATGAGTACTAATAAAATAGTACCTGCTTTGCAGTGTCTGCAGGGATCATTCAAGACCAGACAGAAAAAAAAAGGTAGGAATGATGCTAAAAGACACAGCAGCACCTGTCCACTTACCAAGAATGAGCAAGAGCAGATGTCAGGGAAGAGCGTAAAAATCAAGGAAAGTATGCTATGAAACTTCAGGAGCTTCAGAGAGTGGTGTCTTTCTATTCCACAACCTCAAGAGATTTCTCTTCCATGGATTTTTCCTGTCACTTTTTTTAAACCCTGTGGACTTCAGATAAACAAGGATGATCAGCTGTTCTGTATTACAGAAGAAATGGAAGAACTTGAAACAACACAAATAGCCTTGAAAACAGTGGAAAAGCCTAGACAGACCAAAGGGGATATCTGGGGTAGTTTTCAAAGTTTGGAAACAATTAAATGTTTCTTTTCATAGCGGAAAACTAGTTATGTTTCCATGTCAACTAGAACAATATGTAGCTGTACGATATAAAGCTAATAATAAAATCACCACTTGCTCCTCTGTAAACCACCAGTGTAAATGACCTAGTTACAAAAATGTAACTAGAAGGAAAGATGCAAATGGCCAAATTAATTTTTCCCCCTTCAACTATTTTTTTTCTTCAAGCAAAAGAAGCACCAAAACAGTCCATCATGCAAACACTACTGAGCTTTCACTGATGTCACTAAGAACACAGTGTAACCACAGCAACCCAATGAGAAATAGCTTGGCATGACTGGCTTACTTTTTTTTTTATTTTATTTTTACACCTTTTTTCTTACCTAGCACGGAAGGAAAAACCCCCAATGGCCTGCAGAGGTACATGCTTAAATCTATATAACATGAATCAATGATCTAACTCCAGAACCCTATATTGTTGACTGCATGTGCAGCAAGACAGCCAGCGTAAGGAGCACATGTACCCTCACCACAATACTGTGAACACCAACGAAACAAACAGTGCTGACAAATGCCTGGGTCACAAGACACACCCCCTAACATCAGGCACAGAGCTAAGTCTTAAAAAACATCTGGGATAACCAATAGTTATATATATATAACCAATAATCACATCCAGCAGCACCTCTGAAGAGTTACATAGCAGCACCTGAGGACCACTTTTGTCTAAGGGAGGCTAGCTCAGCTAACAAAAACAAGCATCAGCTGTGATGCTGACCTCTATGGTATGCACTGAGCACAACTTCAGTGCTGATGGCTTCACAAGGGCCATGCCTTGCCTCTTCTGCTGAGTACAGCAGGCAGACAAAGGATAAAGAATTCGAGCAACCAACAGGGCAAGCAACAAGAAGATTTAAAAAGAGATAGGACATGTGCATGTGATTTTTCAGTGGTCACCTGAAACAGCAGAATAAGCAGTTGACCTGTAAACAGATCTACTGAGAGAAAACTGAGATTTACCACACCATATTTTCCAGGGCTATCTGATGAGACATAGTTCCATTCCTGGCCTGGCAGCAAACCAAGGCAGCTTCCAGCCAGAGGGGGATTCCTGAGCAATTCTGAAATTAGGCTCGGGAACAGTGCTATCATTAGCCCCAGATGCTAATGCAACATTAATGTTTAGCAGCAGTACCAACACAGGGAGAACAGAGGAACAGCAACTTTCACCTTTTCTGACAGTCATCGAAGTTCATGAGAGTGTAAATGTAAGAGCTGTACCAGATGAGAACAAAAAAAATAATCATAGGTCAAGTGTCTTGCCTCACAGATAACTACCCAACAGCGGGTGCTTAGTGAGGAATGCAACAAGAGGAAAAACATAGGGCGATGCTATCCTGAAAGACTCTCATAACCTACAGAAATTTGCAGGTTGAGGACTTGTCTTCGTAACTCAGCTGACTCTGATGACGAGACAGAAAATTCAGGATTCTGTAGTATCTATAATACAAATATAATACAAACAATATGGACACCTCTATTTCCCCAGCTTCACTGTGCTGCAGCAGGCTCCAGCAGGCTGTCTGACTTCTCCTCTGGGTATGGGTGTGCTTTGCTGTGGTTCAGTCAGGATCACATGAGGCTACAGACCCAAACCAAAGCAGCAGTGTGGCTAGGACAAGAAAAGCCCCCTGAGCAACATTCACTTTTAATGACCAGAAACCACAGAGCTGAGATCAAAGAGACCAAGCATGTTCTTTTTCAGTCAGTCATGGGCAAGCAGGGAACTGCAGATTCCTTTACAATGCATATACATCTGCCTGGACCAACTTAATAGTAGCTGGGAACAGTTTAGACTGAGCAGAGCTTACTGAGGTTTTATTCTGAACACAGGGGTGTATGAGCTACTGTGGAGCTTGCCCGAAGGTAACTGGATACTTCCTGCATTCAGGCTGACACTGTGATCTAGGTAAGAGCTGATTTGGATACGTTCACCCTGAACTGTATTGAGAGTGCACTAGAGACACGGGACAGCTAATCGAGACTGCAGCTGGGCAGCTGCAGAGCTCGTTCTTTTTGCTCTGAGTGCCATGTTTCCCAGGAGCACAAAGGTGCATGGATGGAGGCTGGGAACTTCAGTGAGGAAATCTGAAGTCTTTACATGACAAAGGCCAATTCACCAGAATATCCTATAGTGATCTGTAATGTGATCAATGTGGTTAAAGTAATGATTTAGAGTAGTCATTTCAATCACATGCTCTCTAGAATATAGATATCTGATTTCTATTTTTTGCTCATTGTCACTCTAATTATTACTGAAAATTCTTTTTCATGTGGTGACAGCGTCCAAGCTGGTTGCAAGAAGTGTGCCAAGACCCCTCCCTTACAGGGCCATTGCTGCGACAGAATTCATTTTGCTCTCCATTTCTTTTGTATCCTGGACTTGGTATCAACACCAGAAAAAGGTGTAAGCACAATCCAGTCTCCTATTCTCTTGAAGATGTGATGTGTGTCTTCAAGTGAGAAATTTGTCCTCTTTTCCAATTTAACACACGCAGGCCAGTGCCACATACTTTCTTTAACACGTTTTGCATGATAGATGTTTCCAGACCCTGTATGGCCACACAAGCTGTGCTGATTATAAACATATATTTAACCTTATCTATGAACTGCTCCTATTTCAACCCAGTGCAATTAAACTAAAAATTTTTACTGATTGTACAGTAAGGGATACCTTCCAACCTGAAGCCTCTCTGCTCTGGATATGTGTAATCACAATTTTACTAACAAGCTAACCCAGGCTTTGTCTGGGATCAGCAATCCTCACCCGCTCTCCTGAGGAGGGGGTGCTACAGCCAGAACGAAACACAGTGACACAGAGACGTGACTTCTATTCAAATGCCATTACCTCTTGCTCTTTCCTGGCCTGCTGGAAGGATTGTTTTTACAGCTTGTTCTTTCTCATCAAATTACCAAGAACAGATGAACAGTGTTAAATACCTACACAGAAGACCAAACCTCCCTCTTGGCTACGGTCTTTCAAAACCCCCTGAGCCCTAAGAAACCTGCTCTGTCCCTCCAAGCGCAGGCATCGGAGACACAAACATTGCTCTGCTCTCTACGTTTCTTTCTGATGAAAAAGAACCACCCTTTTAAACATAAAGCCACGTGCACCTGCAGAGACTCGTGTGGGATTCCAGGAAACCGCAGGGAGCAGCCACACCTTCGCGAGGGCAGGCGCCGGGCCGTGCGGGGTCACCCTGAAGGGCTGCACCACGAGCCGGGAACTACGCTGGGCCGGGGTCAGGGCGAGCGAGAGCCCCCAGTGTGGCATTAGAAACACCTCCTGAAGCTCACACAGCCCCGCGGCGCGGCCTCCCCGGCCTGCGCTCAAGGCTGCCCCGCGCTGGGTATGGCCGAGCTCACGGCCCCCGCCCTCAGGGCTGCCCTGCGCTGGGTATGCCCGTGCTCAGGGCTGCCCTGCGCTGGGTATGCCCGTGCTCAGGGCTCCCTGCGCTGGGTATGCCCGTGCTCAGGGCTGCCCGCGCTGGGTATGCCCGTGCTCAGGGCTCCCTGCGCTGGGTATGCCCGTGCTCAGGGCTGCCCGCGCTGGGTATGCCCGTGCTCAGGGCTGCCCGCGCTGGGTATGCCCGTGCTCAGGGCTGCCCTGTGTTGGGTATGCCCGTGCTCAGGGCTCCCTGTGCTGGGTATGCCCGTGCTCAGGGCTGCCCGCGCTGGGTATGCCCGTGCTCAGGGCTGCCCTGTGTTGGGTATGCCCGTGCTCAGGGCTCCCTGTGCTGGGTATGCCCGTGCTCAGGGCTGCCCGCGCTGGGTGTGCCCGCGCTCACGCCCCCCGCCCTCAGCGCTCCCCGCAGGGCCCGGCCGTGCCGGAGCCGGGCCGGCAGCGCCCCCGTGCGGTCACGGGAGACGCGCCCGCCTGGTGTCGGGGGCTCGCGCGGGGCACGGGGACCCGCAGGGTTTTCCGCCGCGGGGCTGGCGCTGCGGGCAGCGGCTGCACTGCCCAGGAATGCTGCTCCCCCCGTTCCACAGCGCCCAGCGTGAAGGGCAGCTCCTGGCAGCGTCTCCTGCAGAAGGGGAAGCAAACCCTTCAGCAGTCCCTTGCCGCAGGAGCCCGGGGGTGACACATCTGTGGCTGTCTCGGCTCTGGCACCCATCAGAGGAGGGCGGCAGGACCAAGCCTGGAGCGGGACGATCGAGTGATCTCACCTTTGCAGGTGGGAGCACTGCCTTCGGTACTGCCTTTGTTCCCAAGGCAGTGAGATTCTGAATGACAGACACAAAACAGAGGAGACTTAGCTACATATTTGTGATTTCATTGTTTTCACTCCTTCAAATCCACCAAGGCCTCAGCTGTCTAAGCCTTGCTTCAGTTAACCACTAACAACAGTGAAGCCTGGCCTGAAAACACTTGAGAAACAGAAGTTTTAAAAGCGCTTTAAGTCACCTGGGAACAGACAGTAGCATGTGTGTGTCCTCAGCCACTTCAGTGTTTCTGGAAGTCCAAACCAGGGTTGTGCTGCTTCACCTGTCCTTGCAATTTTCAGCATAACTTTTGATTTATCTACAAGAATGCATCATAACTTTGGGGACTGTTTCTGCTGGAGAAAGATCCTCTTTGTCAACACAGTGGTAGTAAGAATTTACCTTTAAAAAGTAATCACAACAATGCTGAGATAAAAATCACACCACAAACCCCAAGTAGCACTGCAGAATGTGGCTCTTTCTATCCTAACTCCTTCAAGGCAGCTGACCAGATAACCACATAACAGGAGTTCCCACCCTACTACAAGCTTTGAAAGAGTTGGGGTGTGAAAATTTTACAAATGTGTATAATTCATCACTGTCACACCTAAAAGACGGTTAAATTTACATTCAGAAGCCAAATAACTTCCATGGTCACCCAGCTCATCAGCATGTATCTCACATGCACTGCTGCCATGTGCCAGACAATACCTGTATGGGTCCCTAGGTTTGCACTTCATTGGGGTTTTACATGTTCACTATCCATTCTGGAAGACCTCCCTTCCAAACCTAGATATAAGCGACCCTGTAACAGAGTCCCACACAGCAGCCTGTTGGCCACAGGGAACTGCAATGGCTCCAGAAAGCACGCTCTTCCTTCTGGAGCACTGCCCATAAACCCAGGCCACCTACAACCCTTGCATTCTCCTAAATACCTCCTTCACACTCAGGGCCTCCTGCACATCGGGCCCTTTTTTATCTACACTCCATATCCTGGAGAAGTGGTTCAGTACCTCTGTTAGGTAACTGTGTTGAAGGATGCACAGGGGCTGGATGCACAGAGGTGTAGCAGCTCCTGACATCGGGTGGAGACAGTTTTTTCCTAGGTGGCTCTCAGTTGCCTTGAGTCGGCCAGTCCAAGACATTAGTCCCAGGATCTGAAGTGGCATTTAGAATCATAGAACAGTCTGTGTTGGAAGGGACCCTTAAACACCACCTAGTCCAACCCCCCTGCAATGCTTAGGGACATCTTCAACTTCTTCAGTTGTTCCCAGGGATGGGGCTTCCACTGCCTCTCTGGGCAACTTGTTTAGACTTGGCTGAATTGCCACTTAGCGCCTGTTGACTGAATTTATAGGTCAATACCCTTGCAAGCCTTAGAGCTGGGCTAAACTCCTTAACATACCTCATTTTTTTCATCTTTTAGGGAAGTCAATGACAATGAAATATTCTCAAGCGTCATAAAAAAAAAAAATAAATATTCATAGGGTACCTGAGCTTGTACCAAGAAGCAAAGCCACACACACTGCAACCCCAAAGGGAACCATCTCATTAGATCTACTCTGCAGGGAGGTGCCCTGCTGCTGAGCTGAGCGCCAGTAGCCTCCACTGTCACATTGATGGAGAGAATATTACAGCATGCCCCACAGGCCTACAGGAGAGATTAGACCAATATATCAGCAAAAGAGGCATCAGAACAAATGAGGGAGCACATGAGCTGCATTTCAGGCTGAAATCTCTACATACTGAATGACTGCAGCTTGTTTACACACCTAATGGGGAGTGGTGCAGATGGGAAGTGGGATTTAAAACCATCACAGGACCTTAAAAATAGCACAGTGAAAGTCATTGTTCCCCTCCTCAACTAGGAGGACAGGAAATGAAAACACATGAGTGGAGAGGCTTTCTGCTCCAGCCCCGAGGGAATGACCCAGAGTCATGAGAATATAGGCCAGATATTGAAGCAAAGAATGAGAAGCAGTAGGAGACAACAGAATATAAATTGTGTGGATAGACTGTAGAAGCCTCTGCAGAAAGAATCACAAAACATTCTATTGACAGAATATTTTATAGTGCTGTGGGCAACTGCTCACCATCCGCAAGCAGAAGTGGAAAACTGTTGGCGAGATGGAATAAGGCACTTCAGTGCACCTTGGTTTCACAGCAGACCTTGCAGTATCATTCTGCTAACATGTACATTGTTTAGAGTGGTAACAGTAAGTATAAATAAAAATTATGTGATTAAAGAGAGCAAAGAAAAATATACATCATACACACAGTGAAAATCTTTTCTGTGTCCTTAGGGAAACTGCAGAAGTGTTGTTTTCTAAGTTACTTGGAGCTAGAAGGCAGAAGCACTGAAGATTTGTGGTGTATGGACTAAGGGGTGAGCAAGCCCATTTCTCTTTGGAACTCAGTGTATCACTGAATGCATTTTTAAAGGCATAAAAATTCACAGAAGGCTTTTCCAGGTTGTAAATAGTCAGAAGTGAGATGATAGGAAAAAAAGGAGATTATCACTATGGAGTAGTGTTGTGGGTAGGACATGAAGAAAGAATAGGGCTTGAGGAGAAGGGAAAGCTACATTTCAGACAGGATTTACTGCATGTGGTGAAGGGCAGCCTCTGCTTGAGGAGAAGGGTAGTCAGGGACTGGGGGACAATCAGGTTAGAGGAGGAAAGAAGCCAGCTCCGAGAGGCGTGTGTGGATGGGAGAGTAAAAATCAAGACGCAGAGAAATGAATGAAGATGGAAAAAGGAAACACGTGTTTGTGAGCAAAAACAGTTGCAGTTGTAGGAAACGTGTTGTGGAAACAGACTGCTTGTCCCAGGTGGTTAACTGTAACCAACCGTAGTATTTACAGGAAACATTTCCAAATTGCAGTAACGATGTCTTTGTGAAGTAGGTGAGTGCTGACAGAGGAGGGAGGCAAAGACAAAAGAACTGAAAGGCGGTGGAGGAGTCTGTTGGTGGGGACTAGAAGGTGAGCATCCCTTGTGCTGGGCCCTGAGCAGACTTTGTGTCTCTTCGCTTGTGAATATACACTGTGAGAGCCCCAGGCTCTGCTGGCTCATCATCAAATACACTTGAAATCACTGTTCAGATCAAACTTCAGAGTGCTGCCAAATGTACCCCAAAGTGTACTCCAGGCTCGACCCTTTTGAAACAAAGGGATCAGTGTGTTCTAGCAATCCCAAGTGCCAGGAAGCAGAAAAAGAGAAGGTGTAATTCCAGACTTCAGGCTATAATTATAGGAAAGAGAGTACATAACATATACAAACTGTTTACTGGCTTTGATTGTTCTAGTAAGACCTATGCCAACCAAGCTATGCTAGTAGCTATTCTTACCCCAGAAGTGAAATAGATGTGTATTAATCATCTCTGCATTGGTATAACTGAAACAGTCACAGAGAGAGAGGGAAGGAGTAAGTTGCTCCAAAATAAGTATATTGGTTAAAAAAAAAAAAAGCTTCTCTATCAAGATTAGTTTCCTAACAAAATGTTTCAATTTTTAAGAAGGACATCAAAATTTTGAACCCTAACAACAATACTGATTTGTTTTGAAGCTTGTTTTCGTAAAAAGTTAGCTAAAGCTTTTCTCAAAGGAATACATTCCCCTCCATCTTTATTGGCCTTCCCAGCCTGTGGTAGGCTTTGTAGGGACTCAGTTCTTGGTGTGTTGTCAGCATGCTCTCCCAGAGATATGGATAGGGGTACTTGGCACATGATTCTCTTCCACCTTCAATTTTGTAGCAGCAGCAGCAGCTCTTTTTACTACAAGTCTTTCTGGCAGCATGTCCTATGCTTACTTGAGGGACAATAAAGGAGAGGGCTGCTCTGATCTTTCAGCATTCCCCATGAGTTTTGTGGGGAATGGAAAAGATGATCCTACCTGGAACCTCAGTAGATCCCAATGTGGGTCACACTTTCATAGGCAAAGTTCCAGAGTCAGATGTATCTTTTGCAGCTTTATCATTGTTTGGACCTCCATATATTACTTTTCAGCTTCAGAATTAAAACCATACCACAGAAACTTTCTCTAGTTAAAGTTAATTATGCTTGGCTCCAGAAACCTGAGCTGAAAATTTGGATCAAATCCTGACTTGACTCAGGCTTAGCTCTGATTTTAATTTTAAAAAAGGCAAAGGTTTGCAGGACTTTGAAAAGATTTGAAGAAAGTAAAACTTGTTACCAGTGTCCATGTAAACACTAGTACAGCAGTAACAGTGAAAGAAATTAAATCACTTCTTGAGGAGAAGTAAACCAACATTTAAATATTTATTCACACAGTAT